CTGAGGATGAGGAGGTGATGGAGACACAGTCACCCTATATTCAGTCTTCCAGGCTACCAGCTCTCACACTCGGGGAGAAGGACAAAATGACCCTAAAGAAGGTGTAAATTAACATGTTTTGAGGTTTACTGCATTCCAATTGTAACTCTTCCATTTTTGATTCTTCTCCTTATTACAGAGAATCGTCCCTTGGATCAGATACACAGAATATTTCTGTGATCCTGCTGCAAAGTACTGCCAGGAGCAACAAGAGGTAGATTTAAATAGTTGAGTGAAGTTGACATTTTAATATTAACAGACAGGGTATCTGAGAGAAGCCCATGTTCCCCCCATTCAACTTGTATCACACAAAATGTAGGTGCAGTCAGGGTGAGTGGCCAAGACCAGGGAAATTATCCCAATTTTAATCAAGAAAACAATAACACAGCATTTTATGTATAACTGATGAAATTTTTGTAGAAATCCTTCAGGATTCCTTGCATGGGAAAGTGAAGTCCTGAAATAAGTGTTTCTGTAGACAGAATGTACATTTTATATTAAATACAGGATAAAATCACAGAATTCTAAGATTGGAAAAGACATCTAAGATCGAGTCCCACTGTTAAATGTTAAGGGCTGTTGTAAGAGACACTTCTTGCTCCCACCATCCAGCAGTGCTGCTCCTGTCAGCCTTGTCCCATACACTCCTGAATAAAACCTGCAGTGAGTCGTAGAAATTAATCAGATATACACAAAGGTCGTGCATGGAGGGGGAGAGCTTCATTGATTCCTGCAGTCACACAATTTTTATAGCATTTCTAGTGCTTCCAGGCCAGATGTGAGTGTGGAGAAGAGGGACAATGGAAATGGTGCATTCCCAATTTAGTTGTTCCTGACAGACTTATTTTTTCAAGCACCTCTCCCTGACATTTCCCTGAAATTCATTGTTGAGATTTCCTCCTTATCACCAGTTGAGGCTGCAGTTATTAAATGGAACAAACGCAATCCTTAGTTGATGGAAATAAGCACAGCCCACAAAAACTTAGTCACTCCAGATTCCTAGGCCTGACTTTTGCAGGAATTCCACTCAGTAATCCTTGCAATAAACCAAATAGCCACCAGCTTACAGATGTTTGTGACCTTACCAACATCTGCATGGCATTGTATTTACCAGACAAGTGATTTGAGGGCTCATGAACAACTTTCAAATGTCATCATTTCTTCAAAGAGAGGAAGGGAAAGGAATGATTACTCACATACTGGACTATTTTGATTGTGAATCACAGACAGCCTTTTATACCTTTTGCTTACATAGTTTGGCTGATTCACCTTCCAGGAAAAGTGATTGATTTGCTCTGAAGTGACCTATTTCCTCCTGAGAGGTGTGGGAGAGCTCTTATCAGTCAGACTCCTTGTCTTTGCTTTAGAGTAAATTGGCTTGGCTCCTGTCTGCCTTTCCCTGGGTTAGAGGGTGCAGCTCCTCAGCTTTCACACTGCCTGGCTTGAGGAGATGGATTTACAGCAAGTTGGCACAACCTCTGTCTTAGTGGAAAAATGAGTGCCAGCTCTTTCATGTTTTGGGCTGAATTTAACAACACCCCTTGCAATTTAGGAGACAACCCCAAGAGTCCTGAGGGCAAGCTGAGGGAGGACTCACTCCCACAGCCACCTCGAGGATCTGTGGTGAGAGGGAACAGCTCCATCCCACCCTCTGGGCTGATGTTCCCCTCCTCATCTCCAATTTAACGCAGACCAAGTTCTACTTTCAGTACTTATATGGTCCCTGCTGCTGAGAGATGGGCTCGTTGCTCTGATGGAAATTTTTAGTACTCCTAGAAAACGGTGCCAGCTGGAATATTCACCCTCTGTGTGTCCAGCAAGCAGCACTTTCCATTTCCTCAGTGAAAATCCTCTTGGCTCCAGCGAGCGCTGCAGGAACCCACACACCCATGCAAATGAAGAATGACGCAGATTGGGATCTTGCAGATGGGAGCTGCAGATCTGAGGACAAGGAACAAAATTGGATGCTTCAGAACATGAGGTTCATCTCCTCCAGGTGTCAGTCAGGTCACCATATCTCAACTCTGTGACGTTGCACAGCAATAATAGATGTGCTCTGTGCAGGCAGGGCTGTGCCAGCAGCACTCGTCCCTTTATCAGGCAACTGCTTTTCTTGGTGCAGGCTCATGGATTTCCAATAGTATCTATGAAAACAATCTTGTTTTGGAAAAACTTTTGGAGTAATAGGTTTGAGGCTTTCTGCAAGTAACACTGGGCCAATTCTCAGCTGCTGACAGATATAACTAATTGCATTATTTGCATATATTTTTAATTCATGGTGTCTCATTTCCTGTTTCCTTTTTTAGAATAACAAAAGCCCCTGATTGAGGTCCAGATTCTCAAACCTTTTGTTACTAAATAAACACTGATTGATGCTAGTTAAGAAAACAGCATGTAGATTTTCTTGGTTTTTAGGGAGGGTTTATGATTTTGGCTTCCTGGTTAAAATATATTTTGTCAAAAAAACATCATGGGACTGATATATTAGTATATCCATACTAAAGTCACACTCAGCCATCGTATTTCATTGGTATTCCTCACTGTGCTGTCCCTGTCCTCATGTACCAGAATGCAAAGGACCTGGAAAATATCCAATGTTTGAAGCTTGGTATTCACTGGTGGAGCTGATGACCCACAGGGACAAAACTGGGATCCAGGGCAATGACACTCAAAACCAAGATATCTTTTCAGCATAATCTGGTTTTGCCTGAGGCAGATGCTCTTCCAGTTCTGCAGAATCCACGGCACTCTTTAGTTTTTTCCCAGTTTTTTTACAAGCTTCCCAGATGTTGGGGATCTGAGACAGCTTGAGCCAGACAAACCCAGATGGATGTTGTGGGGATATGAGGTCTCTCAATTACCAGATACTGCTAGAACTTTGCATTAACAGCTTTGGACCAGCCAAGTGTTGGAGTCAGAAGCCCAGAGCGTGTGCCCTTATCTGTGATACCTGGCTCTGACATCCAAGAAAGCACTGAATGTCATATAACACCATAGAAACAACTGCTAAATAGAAAAACAAAGAGCATGAGAGTGTAAATTAGAGAGTTTTCTTAAGTCACTGGGTGAAAAAATTAAAGTTTAGAGTTTAAGCTTGTTTAGAAAGCAAAAGACAAGATGGAGGATTTAGGGTGTTGTCTCTTCTTCATCTTCTTCTAGAAGTTTTTCAGTAGTAATAAGTGATTCAATAAAAAGTGCCACAGTGCAGCACAGAGGCGTTAGGTCACTGAGCCACTAAGAAAAATAATTTTCTTGCCATTTGTTAATTGGATAAATAGACATATAAAAAACCTTGAAGTTCTTTGTTAGCCATTTTTCACCTTTCTATCTTAGTGCACATAGCTCCTTGTACCCTGTATACGTGAAATGTAGATAAGGGAAGAATAAACAACCAGGTCCAAACAAGAGAAAACTGCTTCTCATCAATCTTCAGTCCAAGAGAAAAAAAGAACCCAGCCACAAGTGTCCCATCAGGACAGCCAAGAACTTTATCTACACCTTCCCATGGGTTTGTGCCCTCAGCCCACCTCAGGCTGTTAAATGTACCCTGACCACACAGCCCAGCTCTGTTGTGCAAAGACAGGCTGAGAGCTGGGGATGTTCAGCCTGGAGAAGAGAAAAGTTCCAGGGAGATCTTATTGTGGCATCTCAGTACTTGAAGAGGACCTATAAAAAACAGGGAGAGAGACTTTTTATACTGGCAAATAGAAATAGGATGGGGAATTATTTTAAACAAAAGGGATTTAGATTAAATGCTCAGAAAAAAAGTCTTCCCTGTGAGGGTGGGGAGGCTCTGGCACAGACTGCCCAGAAAAACTGTGGGTATCCCTGGAAGGGTCCAAGGCCAGGTTGGACTGGGTTTAGAGCAGCCTGGGATAGTGGAAGGTGTCCCTGCCCTTGGCAGGGGTGGCTGGAACTGGATGGTCTCTTAGATTTCTTCCACCACAAACCATTCTGTGAGAGTTTAAGGATCTCTTCATCAGTGCAGGGTGGTATAAGGTGCCTGGAAGGAAAGGTGCAGTGGGGCAGTGAGACCAATCTACTTCAGCAGAGCAGAAAAGCTGAAATATACCCCACAGAAAATCAACATGAGCATCACAACTCCGCTCAGATACCTGCTTAGCCATGCTTGCTTCTCAGTGTGGGTAGCAGCCCCCAAAATTACACCAGGGGGGGCTTTAATTTTCAAATTAAATTTGTACTCCAAAAACTCAAGGCAGTAACTTGCTGAGCAGAGTTCTCTTTGTCTGTAGCAAGGATTGTGCTCTGAATGCCAGCACACTGGCTCTCCAGGGTGGTCTCTGCAGTAAAGGAGAACTTGGGGTGTTACCCTGCTTCACTTGCTAGAAAAAGCTTCACCAGGGAGGTTTCTTAAAAGGGTCTAAACCAGATTCCAACCTGCTGCTCTACAGAGAGCTCTGCTCATTTTGCCCTGTGAGACTGTGCCTCACCCACTTCCATCACCTCAAAATCAGCTTCAGGGATGGTTTGCAAGCAACTATGTGACAAAGCTTCAGTGCTCTTGGGTGTTTTGCTTTTTTAATATAGGATTATAAATGCTTTGTGTTGAAAGGGCCCATTCAAAGTGGTCTAGCCCAAGTTTTCTGTCATGGGCAGGGACAACTTCAACTAGATCAGGTTGCTCAAAGCCCTGTCCAAGCTGACCTTGAATATTTCCAAGTATGGGGCAGCCACCACCTCTCTGGGTAGCCTGTGCCAGTGTTTCATCACCTCATTGTTTAAAAATTTCTTCCTTATATCTAATCTGATAACAGACAAGAGCTAACCCCTTTTAGTTTAAAACCCTTGTCCTACTGCAGTAGACCCTGCTAAAATTCCATCCTCATCTTTCCTCATCCCCTTTAGGTATTGGAAAAGACTCATGAGGTCTCACCAGACCCTTCCCTGCTCCAAGACGAACACCACAATCCTTCTCAGCCTGTTTCAACAGCACTCACAGCATCTTCACAGCCTGTTTCAACAGCACTCACAGCATCTTCACAGCCTCCTCTGCACTCATTCCAGAAGGTCCTCATCTTTTCCTGGCAGAACACGAACAATAGCTCTGTTATCTAATAACAAATTGGCCCAATGCAGTCACAGGTTAAGACAGGCCAAGAAGATCCAGCTCTGCCCATGCCCAGCAGAGCTCTCCAGAGGGCTGTAAGGAGCCACTTGCACCTCCTGGGAATTCTGGGGTGAGAAGCAATGGGGAAGCACAAGGCACTCCCCTATTCCATAGATACCTTTTGCCAGGCCTTTCAGATTCCTGTTCCATGTCTCCTCCCTGGAAGAAAAGTGAGGAGTTTCACTCCTGCTTCTCAACTGCATCAGGATAGATTTTAACAGGGCATAAAAACAGTAATCTGTGTCACTTCCTTCCTTTAAACCTTTAAAGGGAGTTTTGTCTTCCCATGAACTCTGTTCCTGCTCTGTAATTTGAACTTGCTAAGAGGAACCTGGCATTTGAAAACTGATAAAGATTTCTGATCTGAGATGCTGATGCTTGAATGGACCTGTGTCACCAAGCCTTCTCCCTGCCTCAGCTGGTCTTATTTCCTGAGCTTTAGGTGGATTGTTCCTTTTTTGGTTCTCACATTGATCTGTCTCATCCCACATTTCAGTATTTTTCTCAGCCAAGGGTGTATATATTATCGCTCTCTTACTCCAACAGAAAAAAATCCTTCAAGTCCATGAGCTCTGCACTGATCTCAGACCGAGATATCCTGCTCTCATTTTCCACTCTGCTCTCACAGCTTAGTGTGAAGCAGTTAGGATGAGAGATGCCTATCTCCCTCAGGAGAACACTTATGTTGTTTAGCTCCATATGATTTTGTGGTACTTAACTCATTCTTACAGCATGTGACCAGTATCACACAATTAAGGAGCTCAGGGACTTTTGGAAATTTGTTCTATTTGCATTTCCAGCTGCCTACCAACTTCAGAAAACCTGATCTTTGCTTATGTACATCACATACTAAGATACTGTGCTTTAACTTGATTGCAGAAATCTTACCTTGTGAGAGGTATTACAGCCTACCCTAGAATTATTAACCCAGGTTCTTGTTAATAAATCCCTTAGAGTGGATTAGAGAAACAACACTGAATGACCAGTATTTGTAAATACACACATGCAGGGCTCATTGTAGAACAATTTGGTTGCACAGGAAAACTACTATGGAACCATTTTGGTTATTATTATCTATAGTTAAAGGCGACATAAAAGCATAAAAACATCACTAGAAAAAATGTATAAGAGAAAAATATCTTACCACCCCTAGGCTCTATAATGAGACTTAGTACAATTCCACCGTCTATTGGTCATAAACCAAACCCATCAGAGGGTGAGTTTGGTTTATATTCACTCACGTTCAGGCAGGAACACCCAGGTACCACCCCTGGGGGGAGGAGCTTCAGCTGGGTAAAGTTGTGCTGTTGATCAAGGACACCTGGATGTGGAATGTTGTTGGTCAGGACACCTGGATGTAGAATGATGTGGGTCAGGAACACCTGGATGATGGAATGTTGTGGGTCAGGAACACCTGGATGTGGAATGCTGTGGGTCAGGAACACCTGGATGTGGAATGCTGTGGGTCAGGAACACCTGGATGATGGAATGCTGTGGGTTGGGGGACACTTTGGGAGAATTTGATGCCTTCTAATTCTATACAGCTGCCCATTACATGAGTGCAGCTGGGTCTGTCATGGCCATGGTGGCCCATGAGCAGAGTGAGCACCTTCAGTCATGGCCATGGTGGCCCATCAGCAGAGTGAGCACCTTCAGTCATGGCCATGGTGGCCCATGAGCAGAGTGAGCACCTTCAGGCCACCTGTGAATGTCCCAGGAGCTCCCAGACAGGGCAGTTACCACAGCAGGGATCACTGACAAGGACAAGGAGACAGTTCCTGCCTCACAGGGCTCCCCTCTTTCCTGATCTCATCCATCAGCAGTGTGGCTGAGCTGGGCTGTGCTCACCCTCCCGTACTCTGCAGATTCCTCTCATGGTTTGAGCCATCAGCATCCCACTCTCTCTTCCAGTATCACTTCTGGATACCTTCCTCTCCCTAGCCCTGGGATTGGACAATAAATCCCCTTTATCTTGTCCCCAGTTCCTGTCACAGCCCAAATTCCAGTTAGGAGGTGTATTTGGGGAGGGGTGGCTTCAGCAGTCACAGATGAGCCGCTCTTTCCTTGCAGTTTTCAATGTCAGCATTGTTGAAGCCATGGAAACATCAACCATTCAGTCTGTAACAGGAGATGGTGCTTAATGGCTAAATGTTCCTTCCAAAGGGATAAAACTTCTGCTCCTCAGCAAATCCAGGAGCCAGTGGAGAGGAACAGACATGGACTTGGCTCTCTCCTGTCTCCTGCTTAGACAGTGCCCACAAAAGCACGAACTCTTCAGTGCAAAGACTGTTTGTGTTTGAAAGAGTGATAAGTGGCAGCTTTCCTAAATAAGTGATAATATTTTAATGGAAGAAAGAAGAATAATGCAATCAGGAGAATGTGGCAGTTTGGCTGACAAACAGAAATATTGGGGTAAGTACCTGTGAGTGCTGAAGGAGTGAAGTCTGGCAGGGTGGTAGGGCAACAGTGATGTGCACAGCAACAAAAATCTTTAGTGACATAGTTCTCACCCACCAGTTCTTTTCTAGGAGTTTATTATATTGAATAGAGCCCTTTCTCAGACCAGACTGAGTCTGGATTCTTGGAAATTTGACAAAAATATCTCCTGAGAACTGGCCTGTTTCCTCTCTTTCCAGGCTGACCTTTTAATGAGGTCTCATTTTGCTTCCATAAGCTGAGAACAGAGTGTACGAGACCAGCACAAAATGTGCATTGTCTTTCTAGGATTTCACATCTGGTTTATTCTCCTGCACATTTCCACTTTCTAGGGAAACAAATCCTAGGATGGTTTTCTTTGCCCTACAGTGAGAGGTGCTGTTCTTTGAGCAATGAGTATACTTACCTTTAAAACCACCTCTGTTCTCAGAGGTCCTAAAACAGTCCCTTTTCAACTGTAATTTCTTTCATAATTTAAAACAACTCTTCCACTTAGAATGGTTTTAGCTGTTTGGTTGGGGTTTTTTTCCCAGACAGATAAAGGGAGTGTGAGCATTGGTTGTGTTCCTGGAAATAAGGATGAGGAAAACTTTTTTATCTCACTTCTAATGATATCACATTCTGTGGGATTTTTTTTTCCAATACAAGGCCTAATCCTGGTCTTACTCTAAGGCTAAACCATCATTAGAATGTCCAATTAGATCTGTGATGCCCAGTTAGATTTATATTGCATGGCTCCCCAGCATGGTTGTGTTTGCTGAAGACAATCCAATTTTGAGTACATCACTCTCCAATCTAACACAGAACAAGAGGAAACAGCCTCATGTTGTGCCAGGGCATGTTTAGATTGTCTGTCAGGGAAAATTTCTCCATGGAAAGGGCTGTCCAGCCCTGGCACAGCTGCACAGGGCAGTGGAGGAGTCCCCATCCCTGGAGGGGTTTAAAAGACGCTTTGGGATGTGGGTTAGTGGTGGCCTTGGCAGTGCTGGGGAGACAGTCAGCCTTGATGATCTTAAAATTCTTTTCCAACCCAAATGACTCTGTGATCTACCAGAGAATCACAGCACGCTGCTCTGCACTGCTGTCCTGCAGGTGAAAATTCCATCTTTATCCTGCTGGATGTTTAATTGAAAAGCTCTGAGCCAACATGTAGATATTTTCCAGCACTTTCTTGCAGCTTAGATCGAAAAGACAAGGGATAGAAAACAACTGCTTGATGGGAGACAGGGATTCATGCACCTGCTCCTCAGATAAGTGATGGAGAGCAAAGTGTTCACACTCCTGATAATCGTGATAAAGCAGAGCTGGGCACTTGTAAGGGTTTGAAAAATGGAAGTGATAATATTTCGTAGGTGTGCTCACACAGACATAATCCTTGTTTACAGGACCATTTCTTAAATGGTGTTTTGGTCTGTAGATCTCAGCAACAACTTTAACTGATCAAAACACATTCACCCACAGAAGAAAATAAATAGCTTGGTACAACAGGATGATGGCCTTGGGTATTCCAGAGTGAGACAGCAAAAAACTTGTGACTTACTCCTGCAATTCCTCCCAGTCTTTACCATTAGAAAAAGGTGTGGATTCAGCCTGTCAGGTCAAAGGAGGAGGTACATGATAGCAACAAGCACTAGAGTGTGAGTTCCTAGGTTTGGGAGAGACTTTTATTATATAATTGACATATTTTTAAGAGCAAACCAGAAAACTTTTAGTGGATGTCTCAGGCAGAACCCCAAGGACAGCTAGAAGTCACAAGGCAGCCACTGAAGGCAGGATTTGTTGGGCTGCTCAGGGCAGGGATTGGGATGCCCGAGGCTTTCTGAAGGCAGCTGGCACATCTCATTAGCTGGAAGAGAAAACAGAACCCAGACAAATGAAGAGCTCAGCTCTGGACAAATACAACTTCAGGGTGACTTTGAAAACTGGATTCTAGTGTTGTCTCATGTCAACAGCTCATTATTGCTCGTGTAAAGTCCCTGAGATGGTAAAATATGAGACTGATACTCCCCATCTTCTGGTTGCTCCAGATAAGGATCACAGAGCTGGTACTGAGTTATTAAATTTAGAGATGCAAAAGTTATTCCTTGTGCATATATTTTACTACTTTTATGATGCATGATCCATGTTTTTCTGTGAAAGGAATTAAATCACGTTTATAAGGACTTCCCTCCTTCTTCCATGAGTCTCTTACAGATTGTTTGCTGCAGAAACTAGAGAGACTCATTTGATTTTTGTAATATATGTTCCTATGGACTTTAATTTTACTCTGATTTTCTTCATTCTGGCAAAAAAAAATGGGGTCAATTTACATATGTGAAAAATGTCTCTTCAGCCTCTTCTTCCTTTCCTCACTTGAAGCTCATTGATTTTCTCTGGACAGCTCCTCTGGGAGCTGCAGAGAGATCAATACTTGAAGAAATGGTGAGGCAGCTGTAACCTCACTAAATCTACCCAAAAGAAATAATTCAATATTAACTCAGATGATTTTCTCTTGTGGTTGAATCAAATGGACATTTAATGGAACTATCAGTATTTTCCTATATAAGTTAAAAATAAAGGTAAACACGTGAAAGGGCACCACGTTAGTGCCATGCACTGAAGCCAAAATTCATTAAAGCAATGACCTCTGGGCCAGACTTGTGGCTGTGTGCAAGGAAAACTCTGTTAAGTTCTCAGTTCAAAGGCTTCATTTCAATTAATTCACTTTCAATTTAAAGCACGGTGAGGCTGCTGCTACAGCCTTCATTTTGGAAATTTTATGTGGCTGTAGGGCCACAGGAGCATGAGGAGGCTGATGCTGAATTGATGATTTTTGGGCATGGATTAACTTCAGGGACTTTAGGACAAGGACTGGAGAAGCCAAACAATGATCCTGAGATGTGACAACATCCCCTGAAGAACCTCTCCTCTGATACATCTCAAAACTGGTAATAAATATTTATAACATGGATCAGGCACCTACAGATTTCTATTTATTACTGTCAGAAACAAGTGATATACTGATTTAATCATCATTGCAATCATTTAATCATCCTTTAATCATCATTTAATCATTGGTGCTTCTACTTGTATCCCATCCTGGTTTTGAATTGTCCAAGAATTTAGAGCCTTTGTCTCAGTGGATAAACATTCTTGCACTGGTGGCTGTTTCCCTTCAGCCACTCCTTCTCTCACTGGGAATGGACAATTTCATGTCAAAAATTAGATCTTCTGTGAATTTCACATGAAAATACCTGGCAAAAGCTGTCTGAAACACTGTGGCTCAACCACTGGGAGTAGGAAAACTTATTTTAGTAGTAAATTAACAACAGCAAAAGAAGCTGGTGTGTTTTGCAGGTTTGACATTTGAGGCACTGAGACAGTAAATACAATTTGGTCAGGACATGGATTACAGTTTTCCATGCCCCTCCACACTCAGCACAAAAACAAGGACACTGATTTTTAATTAACAGCAGTAAAGACACAAAGAGAATTCTTCTGTGACATGACAGAAAAAAATCCCAGGACTTCAAAATTTAAAAAGTCAGAGTTTTATGGAGGAGATTGTTTCTATTTGGGAGGGAAAAAGTAATTGAATTTTATTTTATTTTATTTTATTTTATTTTATTTTAGTTGTTGTTTTTTGTGATGCACAAAAGTATTGGTAAAGAAACTATTGAGTTTTTGCCTCTTCCTGCCAGGGAACAATATAATTTTAAAAATACTTTTTTTCAATTTATTCATGATGAGCTATAATGATAGTCTTTCAAAACCAACTAGACTTAAAGTTAAGGATTTGGCTTCTAGAATCTGCTTTCTGGCACTCAGACTTCTGCTGGCA